CATAGAAAGCAGTCCGTTATAGACACAGTCACTCTCAGAGCCCCGAGCCACACGTTCAAAATGTACCCTGATATAGAAATAGCCACAAGTGCACAGGCACATAAGTAGTGAGGTACCAGGTAAAAAGTCATTCATTTTTTTTCTTTTGGAATGTTCACAGAGAAACTGACCTTTTTGGAGAGGGAGGTTGCTGGCTGCTCTGGAAGGTGCAGACAGCATCAACTTTAGGGGAACTTCATTGTTTTGAGATGTTTACCAGTTGAGGTCCTTTATGTAAGACAGCATCAGCAATTGTGCTTGGAGAAAACTGAGGTCACCTTAGTCTGTTTCAGATGCTGAAGACGGGATGTTGAGTGCTTTGCCTCGTGTTGGACCATATTCCCAAAGGACGGAAAACCTAGAGCCAGCACTTCCTAGCTGTGTGACCTTGCGCTAGTGACTCAACCTCTCTGTGCTTCCACATCCTCATCTATAGAATGGAGATTAAAAAATGGTACCAGCCTCATAGGGTTATTGTGAGGAGTGCCTGGCATAGGGCAAGCGCTATATAAATGTCGGCTGTTATTATTATTGTTGTTGGTCATCTGGTTCTCATGAGAAAGCTTGAATCTGGACTGTCACTGGGCCCTTTGGCCTTTGTGGGCCCCTTCCTCCACCAAAAAATATTAAGAATTTTATGTTTTATGACTGCGTGGGTATAAAGACTAGTATAATCCAGTTTGGATTCTATTCATTTTTTGCCTGCCAATTTTAAGAGAAACTAAAACATTTCTGTGGGCCTTAAAGTTACTGTGGGCTCCAGGCACTGGGCCCACCGCACTGATGGACGATTTGGCCCTGGCTGTGGCCCCTCTGCATGTCAGGTTCTGCACAACCGAATGGCTGAGAGAGACGTTGGGGAATGTTCTTTGGAGCATCATGAGTGCCTGCTCTGGACCCTGGAGATGCCTTTAGGGTAGCCAGGGAGAAAACTGTGCTGTCACTGGGATCAACTGGGGCAGATGTGGGAGCTGCCTCTGGGCGTGCGCACGGCTAGTGCCAGCCCCTCCTGACCTGGCCCTGGTGCAGGGAGCCATCGGCCAGAGGATGCCATCACTGCAGGGGCTCAAAATCCCTAAAGTTATGGTGGTGACACTCGGCTGGCTGACCTGAGTTTCTGGCCCCCAAGATTGAAGAAGCAGCCCCAGGAGGCCTTGGGAATAACTGCTGAAGGGCGCCCTGGGGGAGTGGATTGCTGTGATTGGAGGGCAGGGGGCTTGGTGCTGGGTTAACTGAAAGCTGTGACTCTTGCCTGCCCAGACTGTGAGGCACTGACTTACCAGGTACACAGAAGCCCTTCATTCCTTCATTCTTCCCAGACTCGCTGAGCAGCTCCGGTGCGTAGGTGCTGTGCTAGGGCTGGGGCCACAGAGAGGATAAGACCCTGTTCAGCACTGCTGGACCTCCCTGCCTGGCAGGGTGATAAGTGTTCCTTGCAGTGTTCTGGGCCAAGAGCTGGGAGCCCCAAACGAGAAGAGGTTAGTTCTGGGTGGAAGCTTGATAGGGGGCAGGTGGGAAAGGGTGGCTTCTCTGCAGATTCCATGTCCAAAACGAACATGAGGACTTGAGACTGTGACGATGCCAGACACCCCCATCCTTATCCCGCTGAAGCTCGTGTATTCCAGGGCCTGGAGCAGGGCCTCCCAGGATATGGGCACTTAATGTCCCCCAGCCATTCAGGGCCAGACTGTGCTGGAAAAATAACCATGGGTGACTTGGCAGAGGCTGGGCTCAGGGGAAGGGAATGCTAGGAGAAGCAATGCCAAGGTTGGGAGTCAAGCGGGGAGGCTGTTGGTGAGAGCCTGAGAAACAGGGCAGGTGCCACTGGCCAGGGCCCATAATTTTTAGTTGCTGGGACAGGACTTTCGGGGGGCAAGTGTTACATCTTGGGTGGGACCCACTAAGGAGGCGGGCCTGGGGGCTGGCAGTGTTTCTCCTCAAAGTCAGATGAAAGTACTGGGTGTTGAGAGAGGGTTTGGGGGCTGAGTGAGGGGTTCGGGGTTTGGTGATGGGGACCGGGACTCGGCGGGGGGCTTACTGAGAGCACGGGACCTGGGCAGGGTTTGAGGAGCCGTCTCCCCTTCCCATTCCTGGTCCCTGAATCACTCCAGGCCTCCTTATTCCTCCCGTGCCCTCTGCCCGGGCTGGGAGTGGGAGGTCTTGTGCGGGCTGAGGCTGGGGCCCCTCTCAGCTGGATCTGATGGTGGAGGGCCTGGCGTGGGACCACTGGCCTGTGTCCCTCACATTCTGAGGGCTGGAAGCCCACATCCACCTCCGGGCCAGCTGGGCGGGGTCTCTGGGGCTTGAATTTTAGCCCTTCCCTGTCAGTATCCTCTGTCCCTCAGTTCTGAGACCCTTTTGCTAGCATGTCAGGGGTTCTGATGCTCTGCCCTTGGGAAGGCAATTGAAGGGCGACGCTTAACCCAACATGCTGGTGGCATCTCAGGCCACAGGTGGCACGTGGGAGTGGCCTTTCTCAGGAAATACACTTCAAGGACGCAGCCTTCTCCAAGCAGGGCCTGTGAGGAAGCCAGAGGTGGAGGGCATCCTGGCTGCTGTCATACCACCCACGTCCACCCGGGGGCAGCGATGCCCAGCCTAATCTCAAACTCCTGTACCCCCACCTCAGGTTGCCCTTGACAGACGGGGGACACCCTACCTGGAAACCGAAGGGCTGGGAAGACTTTGAGACCCTCTCATTGAACAGATGGGGTGACTGAGACCCAGCGGGAGCCTGATCTGTCCAAAGCTACACAGGGATCACCTGGCTCTGCCTTTCATCCAACCACCGGTCTGCGGGGGAGGCTTGGGGTGCATCTCTGAGTGCGGCAGAGAGTCTTGGGGGGCGATAGGGTGCCTCAATCCAGAATCCCCGTGGCCTCGGTGCCACCCCTGGTACATGTCCTCCTCTGAATGAACTTGCCAGGCAGGGCGGCTAGATGGGTAGGGACACGAGCTGTGGACCGAGCAGCCTGGAGCTGCCCCGCTTGCCTGTGTGCCTCTGGGAGACTTTCTGGGTCTCTCTGTTCTTATCTGGGAACAACACAGCACCCCCAGCCCCCTCCTGGGCTGGCTGTGCGGACGAAATGAGTTGTTATATATAAAGAGCTTAGACCAGCCCCTGGTGACAGCAGGTGAGCATCAAACTCAACCTCCCATTAGGAAGAGTCCCTATTCTCCCTGCTTCTGAAATGACATGGGAGCCACCTGAGCCAGTGCTGCCCCAGCACCCAGGTGACCTCATCCTGTCCGCTCCCTTCCCAGCCCCTCCCCTCTCCCACCCCAACAAGAACCACACACACATAAAAATATAGAATTTTATCTTACTTTAGTTAAAAAAAATAATCGCACCACCGAATGAAGAAGCAGCCTTTTTTTTTTTTTTTCCTTTTTCTTTTTTGGTGAGAAGGGAAGAGAGAAAAAAAAAAAGCAATAAGCCAAAAGAAAAAGAACTTTTTATATTCATCTGTATAAACATATCTGCTAAGGCAAACGCAATCCAGGGCCAAGGCTGCTGCACTGGGGTCAGTACCTCCTAATTCCTGCAGATTCTAAGGCCAAAAAAATAAAACCTCTGCAAGTCCAACAGGAGTTTTGTGGACTCTTGGGGCGCTTTACTAAAATAAAGAGTTACCGAGTTTAAAAAGCAGTGACGCTGTCACAACACACACTGAAAGTTGCATAACTGTGGCCTCAGTGGCCATGCGCTTGTTTGGACTGGAGGACGGGCACAGCTTCACGACACAGCAGCGGACACAGACGCACGTACACACAGACACGCACACACGTGAGCGAGCACATCGGGAGCCGCGTAGGGCCGGGCTGGTGGCACAGGCTTGGCCACGGCCCATCTGGGGATGGGCACAGGGCGGGCTGGGGTCCCCATGCTCCCTCAGGGGGTGGGTGTGACAGGACATGTCCCGTTGCTGGTGACAAGGCGGTGAACGTCACTTGGGGAAGGATGGCGCGAGAGAGCCGAGCCAGACCCCCCTGCTCCCCACAACCTGGTCCGTGCAAACCACTTAAAGCACTTCTTGGACGCCTCCTGGAGAATGGAGACGTTCTGGTTTCCTTCCCTGTGGAGGGGCCAATCCCTCCTCCCCACCCTCTTCTCTCCAGACCGTCAGGCTGTTCTGGGCCAGGGAAAGCAGGGGGGTGGAGGGGACCGGGGACTGGTGTTTCTGTCCCCAGAGCCTTCCCTGCCCACAATCCGTGGCACGGCCGGCAGAGTGTGGGCCCTTGAGGTAGATTGGCACAGCTGCCCCCTCACCCTGCCTGGCTGGGCCCCAGAGAGCTGGGGTCTCCTTGCCAGCGTGGGGTGCCAGGGGCCTGGGTCCCTTCGCCAAAATAGAAGCCCCCCCCCCTTGATTCCAGCAGAGAGGGGAGGCAGGGCCAGAGGAACGGGTGCTGGTGATGGGGAGCCCGGGTGCCACCAACCGGCTCTATGGGGCCGGCCATGATTCTTGCCACCTGTTGCTCTCCCAGTCAAGCGGGGGGGGCGCTCGAGGGCCCCAGGGGCAGTGCAGCCTGTGGGTTAAGGGCAGGTGGTCTCCGCGGGGGTGGAGGAGGAGGTGGAAAGGGAGAGGCACAGGGAGGAGTGTGTGTGCAGGCGGCCCACCGGCAGGGAGCGCCCTAGAGCCAGAAGCAGGAGTGGCTGCAGCAGGCAGTGGGCGGCCAGGAGGCGAGGGGTGCAGGACTGGCCAGGGAGGGCTGGGCCAGGCCGGGCGGCGGCTGGTGTCAGGGCCTCAGGGACAGCGGAAGGGCGCGGGGAGGGGCCGGGCCGCTCTGGGAGACCCCTCAGCCGGCTTGTTCGCAGACTCGTGTAGCTTTGTAGCATGGTCCCTTCAGACAGAGCCGAGGATGAGGCTTGGCCTGCGGTCTGCCGGCCCTCGCCACCCTCGCCCGCGGGGCGGAGCCGGGGCGGGGGCGGGGCCGGGGCGGGGCCGGGCGGCGCGGCCTCGCTACTCGAAGGCGGCCTGCAGCTCCTTGAAGGCGGCCTTCCGCTGCCTCATCGCCTCCGCCTGCCTCTTCCTCTCCTCCTGCTCTGCCTTGATCTCCTCTTCGAAGCGGCTGGACACGCTCATGGCCTGGACCTGGGGCGGGGTCGCGGGGTCGCGGCTCAGGGCCGGAGGGGGCTCCCTCCGGGGGCTCTTCCGGCTCCGCTGTCCCCCTCCCCTCCGCACACACAGCTCTGCCTCCCACTAGCCCGGTCCCGGGCCAGGCACTTGAGTCACCTCTCTGAGCCTCATTGCTTGCACTTAGAGCCTGGCGCTCAGTAACTCCGACCTCATGGATACGTTGGGAGGATTGAAAGAGAGAAGACGTATTCAGTAGCTGCTGCAGAGCGCGGGTCCTGGAAATGCGAGCTTCCGAAGCTGCTATTCTTACCCTGTCCCCTGTCCTGGGAAGCCCAGATGCACACCTGGTCCCACTGATGAACCCAGAAACATCCCATCAACCCTAGAAGCCCAGAGGGAGGTGGGAGGAGGCCTTCAGAAGGAATGTTCTTAGCTAACATGGGGAGGGGGAGAAGCAAGAACAGGCAGGGGCCCCAGGGCCCGGGGAGGGCAGGATCTAGGAACCATACTTGTCCCCTGCATCTGAGCGTGTGCTGAAAGGGGAGGGTACTGTGCACGGCGGCGGTGGCCTCTGGGGCCCATCATACTCCCTCCCGGCTGGGGCTGGCAGGGCTAGTGTCTCCCAGAGGCCCCGGGAGCCAGTGCTCTGTTTCTGGGCCTGCTTCCTGTCTCCCGGGCCCACTCTTTAAGGCCCAGTCCTTTGCGGGTAGTGGCTCCGAGTACAGGGCTGGGGCAGCTCAAAGGGGCCCCTGTCACCTCTTCAAGAGTACACACCCCTCCCTCACCCACCTCTGGGGCAGGGAGAGAAAGAGAAGCTGGAAAGGATCACAGGCCGGACGGGAGGGGACAGAAGCCAGGAGCACAGTGGGCCCTGAGCGACCCAGGAGGGGCGTCAGCTCCCCACCTCCTGTCTGCGGTCTCAGCAGGGACAGGAAGGGGACGTGCTGACCCTTGAGCTAACTCAGCGTCCCGGAGTAACCCGGCCACGCCTGTCCTCACGCGGGGGGGTCAGGGCAACCGCAGCCTGGGCTCCTCCCATACTCCTCACCTTAGCCTCAAAGAAGCTCTTGGCCCCCTTGACGCCCTCGGTGGACACATCGATCTCGGAGAGGCGGGCCAGCACGTGCAGCCCGCTGTCCTCCTGCAGCTCCCCAGCCGCCGCCTTGCGGAAAATCAGGAGGAACTGCAGCAGGGAGAACAGAACACTGATGCTCTCAGGGAGACAGGGAAAGGGGCCAGAGCCTTACCACACCCGGGGCCAGCTGCAGGCCTCCCCGGAAAGGAGGTACTCACAGGCCTGGGAGCTGGAGGTCCGGGCTCTCCGTCCTCCATGCTCTGTGTCCTGCACAGGCTGTCATGTCCCTCCCTCTCTGGGCCTTGGTTTGCCCATCTGTACGATGGGAGGCTAGGTGACCTGTCTCCTGCCGCCCCCAGGACTGGGGCTACTGCAGGCTGCTCTGCCCACGCCCAGCTCCCGTTAAAAGCCTCAAGCTACCTCTTACCTTTGTTTCCACTGTTCCCCAAACCAATCCGCTCTAACTTCCATTTACTGAGTCCTAAAGGTACATGGCTCTGCCCATTTTACAGAGCGAGGAAGGCTCAGAGGCAAGAAAAAACCTGCCCCAATCTCAGCACCAGAAAGCGATGGAGGAAGGATTGGAACCCAGGTCCAGACTCCAAACCATCATCGTGTGCTGCTCACACCTTCCTCCCTGGACTTGGCTCCCCCAGGCGCCCCCCTCCCCCTTCTCTCGCCCTGCCTCTTCTGTGCTTCCTGCCAGTTCTCCGAGGCCCAGCCTGAGCCTTGACTCTCCAGAGGCCACCTCTGGCATTTAACCCTATGCTGCCCGGGGACCAGTGCCCTTGCTCTCTGGCCTTGAGCCTCTGCTTCCTCCTCCAGCAAACAGGCTCGTTCGTGGCTCCTGTCTCAGAGTGAGGCCTGAGTGAGATTCGGAGTGTGAGGTCACCCAGCTCAGCGCCCGGCTCCTCTAGGACCCGCAGTGCGTGTCCCTCCTCCATCTGTCCCCTCTTCTCCTGAATCACAGCATCCTGTTATTTCACTCTCTGAGCATCTCCCCCTCTACATGCCAGGACCCCCGGAGCACAGGGCCTTTCTCTGTACTCCCACAGCCCACACGGGGTCAGGTATACAGAAGTCACTCCATAAGTGCTCACTGCATGAAGGAATGGATGTGCCTCCGTCTCACTTAGGCATCTCAGAATCTCCCCAGGTACCTGCTCTAGGATCCGCTGACACCTCACTCAGCCAACTATCAGCCACTCGACAGTGGCTGTTCACGGACAAAGTCGCTCAATGACAAAGAGGGGTTAGTTTCTCCCCACCCCCCGGTGTTGCCCCCCACGGGGAGTGGGGCTCACCTCTCGGAAGCTGAGCTTGCTGTCAAAGTCCTCATCCACTTCCTTGATCATGTTTTTCAGGCCCAGGTGGGTCTGGGGGGCTCCAAGTTTCTCCATCATGAGCTTTAGCTCCATCAGGTCGATGAAGCCATCCCGGCCGGCATCGTACCTGTGAGCGCAAAGAGAGAGGCCTAAGGACATCCTGCCACCTCATACCTGACCAGAGTGGTCAGAAGCCAGAGTACAAGGAGCCTGGGGGCTCAAAAGGTGCCTCCCACCAACACGTCATCTTATCACAGCTGGAGAGGACCTCGGCCCAGGTGGACTCCCGATTCGAGGCCCAGCTACTGCTTGGTTACCTCTGATGATGGGGAGCTCACCACATGACCTGGCAGCCTCCTACATGTTGAACAGTGCTAACTTTTGGCCAAATTTACCTGCTACACAAGGCAGCGGAAACCACAGCCCCTCTCTACTGAATGAGATGTGAACAAGCAGGGAGGGAGAATTTACAATACCATGGGGGTGAGGATTGCGACGGTAGGCCCTGAAGTTAGAACTCACTGAGCATCTCCAGGTACCTCCACAGGCACTCGAGGGACATCTTGGCTCCATCTCTCCCCCTCTCCCTGTTCCCACCCAGGAGGGAAGCAGAAGGTACCACATGTCTCAGGGTAGGGCCAGAGGTCACAGGAGGGAGGGGCCACTTCTAGTTTTCTGGAAGGTGGCCTGGGGTGTGTTCTGGGAACAAGTTGTGCAGGGTGCCTGCAGTGAGCGGCAGGGATCCAGCTGGGTGGCTGGAAAAACCTGGAACAGTGATTACATGATGACCGTGCCTCTGTCCTGCACGTTTCAGGTCTCTTTTTTCTACCACCGACAGCCTGGCAGAGAGAGGGACAGGGTGAGGGGCAAGAGTCTAAACGTCTCGCTCGACTGGCTTCCTTGTGGTAAGAGCTTGGGTCAGAGCTGGGCTCCAAGCCCGTCCCCTGGCTGGGGAGGTTCTGCTTGCGCCGGGAGCACACAGCATGGCAGATGTGGGTGCTGTTCCCACCGCCCAGCCAGGCCTCTTATCAGGCGAACCAAGCAACCGCCCTGACTGTCTCCTGGTGGGCTGGGGGGAGTCATCTCGGCGCTGTGGCCAAATGGGTCTTCTGAGCCTAAAGAGGCCTGTGCAGTCCCCGAGGCCTCAAGATGGCTGGGTGGCAGCGCTGGTGACAGCAACTCAGGGGCTGAGTTCCAGAAACTTCCTGGAGACTTGGAGTTCCTACACAAACACACATCTCATTCCTGTGGCCTCTACAGGGCTTCCCAATTCCGTTCCCCCATCTCTAATTACACATAAGCTTCACATGACTATGGACATCTGACAGCAACCACTTTTTGAAATCTATCTTTGTGCTGGGAAATTTCCATACTTTATTTTACTTAATCTTCATAATAACCTTCTTTTATAATGGAAGCTCAGAGAGGTTAAGTGGCCTGCCCAAGGTCACACAGCAGTGAAGGAAGGGGCTGGGCTTCTACCCCACAACAGTAGGGCTCATAAACCTGCACATTTGCTGGCCCCCCCGACGCCCCATGTCCTGGGGTTGCCAGCAGGACAGAGACGTCTGCCTCGAGTGCTGAGCAGAGCATTTGTGCGAGGGGTAAAAATAGTTCACGAGCAAGTGAGTCAGTGGTTGGAAGTGATGCAGCACAGGAAGATAGGTCTCTGGGAACCCTGCAGGGAACACAGGGTCCTGAGGCCTTTTCCCCCACCACGGGGTGAAAGGGTCCGGGGTGAGAGCAGTGGCCACAGCCGAGGCGGAAGCAGATGTGAGAGGATGTGGAGGGTTGTGGGACTTGGGAGGGTCAGGGAGGCCAACGATCCTGTGGTCCAGGCTCCGCTTAGAGCTGGAGGGGCCCTGTGGGGGGCACGGTGGAGCCCCCCCTTCCATCTTTGGAGCCTGTTTGCCAGTGGTAAGGGGCTGGGTGGCTGCTGCATGAGCCTTAGTGACCGGTACTGGAGCAGCCCTGGAGCGTGGCCAGGTGAGGGAGTCGGTCTTTCCTGGGGCAAGTCACATGGATGCCCCTCCTCAGCGTCCCTGAGGAAGACAAAGCCCCCACCTCTTTCTGAACTCGGGCTCCAGTGATGACATGTCAGGGCTGGAGCAGACTGCCTGGGCTCCAGGAGACTGTGCCATCGAGCCAAGGCAGAGAACCGCTGGCATGATGGTGAATCTTTCGTAAGGTTACTGCGAGGACTGGGTACGTTCACACGTGACAAGCACTTTGCACAGCGCTGGCTCCAGAAACTGCAGCTACCAGCACTATCATGAGACTTTGTTACTTTTATGAAGCTCCTACTACGTGCCAGCCATTTTCTCTGCGCTCAGCAATCCTGGGGGGTCAGAGTTATGTCCCCATGTGACTGATTAGGGGACAGGGGCTGGAGAGGTTTGGGCACTGGCCAAGGGTTCAGACGCCCATCCCTGGGATTCCCACATTCTACTCTCTCTACCGCCCCAACCTGCCTCTCTTGAGCCTCAGCTTTATTTACTGCTCAAGGGTTACTCCTGCAGCCAGGGGTGGCTCAGTTTCAGAGGAAGTGCAGATAAAGTGTCCAAACTTGGACAGAAACTTGGGCTCTGGTTCTCGGTCTCTGGCAGCTCCCAGGCCTGGCTGGGCTGCAGCTCAAACCGCGGCGTGAACCGCTGCCTGTGTCAATCAAGCATCAATCAATTACTGGTTCCGGGCTCCTGCCCCCAGGGGGACAATGCAGGGGCTGGCCACACTGGAGGGGGTTGTTCCCACAAGGCCCCCGGGGTAGTGGACATCTACCATGTGCCCTGAGCTGTGACGTGGGTGGGCTCTGGGTCATTGGATCAGCCAGGTTCCTGGGTAAACCCCGGAGGTTTGCGCTCACAGCAGCTCTGCTGAGACTAACCCGAGTCCAAACCGCAGCTCTGCCACCTGCTGGCTAGGTGACTCTCCTCAAGTCACATGACCCTATGAACCATTTACATCATGGAGATCAGACCCATCCCAGGCTTGCGGCAAGAGTCAAGAGATGATCCATGTAGATTCTTAGCACAGAGGCTGGCCCACAATAAGTACTTAATCATTACACGCTAACTACAGTACTAATTATCGGTAACATCTACCTCTAGGATCCGAGATAAAGGAGATTGTGGATGTAAAATGCCTAGTACATAGTACGTGCTTAAAACCTGCAATTTCTTTAGAATAGTGGCTATTGAGGAATTCTTATGTGCCAGATACTAGTTAAGTACTTTGCACATTTAATATAAAAATGGTGTTGATAGTGAGAAAAATAATGGTAAAAAATACAATTTCTCCCTCAGGCACCAGTCCTAATGGCGCATGGCGGGAAGGAAATGCTTGTTGTAGACTGGCCTGGAGGCAGCGGGTGGACACGACGGCCCAGAGGTCCCTCCAGCATCTTCTCTGAAGGTCCCACTGCTTCCCTCCCCCACCCCCATTAGGCCTGATTCAAGGACCCCGCCACCTGGGGAGGTGAAGAGACAGCAGGACAGAATCTTTTGCTCTCTCGCTGGGCAGACAGAGAGAGAAGCCTCGGTCCTGGATTACTCTCTTGTCCCTCCTCTGACAGGGAGGGAAGTGACAAAGGGGGAGACTGTCAGTGTGCCACCAGCAGGAGGACCACTGGCAACCCAGGAGAGAATGGTGTTCTAAGATGCTTGGAAACAGGCACATGTCCCTGACTGGGGAGAGCCTCTCTTCCCTCAGCCCTCTCCCTGAGCTGGAGCTCAGGTTGCAGGTAGCTCAGAGGATCCAGGAAAAGAGTCCGTACCCAAGATCCACCTGGATGCCTGGTCTACCCCTTCATGTCATGTAGGGAACTTGGGGCCCAGAGTGGGTAGCAAGCAGCCCAGGGCCACACAGCTGGAGAAAAGCAAGATTCCTGAAGTTGTAAGCTTTCCTCCCTGCCTGCCTGCTTTCCTCTTGGGAAGGCGGTCCCATGGAGGGTCCCAGATTCTCAAGCCTGCAGGGCTGGGGGAGACTGGGCTGAGAGGAGAGGCTTGGGCCCTGCCTGGGAGGGCAAGTTCCATCTGGCAGGACTGATAACAAAGCTCCTGGGCTGGGAGCTCAGCACTTTTCTCCAGCACTGGAGGGAGGCGGCTGCACCTGGTGCTGTGCCCACATTCCTAACCACCACCCCTCTGAGCCTCCCCCTGAATAGTTCTCGATGGGGAGGGCTCAGCAGCTGCCGCCCCGGATGCTGGTGACGAAATCCCCTCCCATCTGCCCTTGCACGTGGAGCAGCGGCCACCACCCAGGCAGACTTTGCCCCTTTGGGCTGCAGGTCCCATCCGGCTGATGGCTCCTCCTCCCCCGGTTCTGATAACCCGGAGATATGGGGGTGAGAGCAGCGGCCGGCTCCTACAGCGTGCAGGGCTTGCCCTCATTTCATAACAATATTATCATTAGTGGCTGCTCTTGGCTGGGCACTTACTATGTGCCAGGCACTGTGCCAAGTGTTTTGTATCAGATCCTCACAGGAACTCCATGAAGCAGGCATAAATATCCCCATACTACAGACGAGGAGACTGAGGCTCAGGGAGAAAGTGACGTGGCCAAGACCATAGCTGACGAGGGCACACCTGGGATCAGAACCCTGACCTGACGAAAAACATGTGCTTTTAACTACTATGCTATGTCTTGATGCCTACAGACCCTGCACCAAAGAAACTCAGGTTGGGAAGGATACTGGAGGCCACCTCATTTAGCCATTCATGAGGGTCAGATACACAATGCAGTTTTCCTGCTTGGCATCTTGAATACCTCTAAGGATGGGAAGCTCACTGCTTACCTAAAGCAGCACATTTTGGCTTTGGAACTATTAGAAAGTTTCTCCTCATGCACGACCCTCCCCACCCACCAGCTGTGCTGTACAGTCTGAGAGCAGAGTGAGGAGTCATCACAGCTGCTGCACAAGGGGAGGGTGGGAACAGTTGATCTGGGAGCATAGGGGACCCCAATTCTCTCCCTTCTAGTTCCCATCCCAGGCCTTTGCTGATGGCCCCTCTGCCCATGGGGGTCCCAAGGAGGACAGACAGCTGGAGAGAGTGGTGTTTATGGACCACTGAGCCCCCAGGCCCACCTGGCTTTGTTCTCAGCATTCACAGACCTGGTCTTCCTCCATCC